GCAGAGCCCAACTGTGGGGCTTGGTCCCAGGACTGTGAGACAATAATCTGTGTGCAAACCAAGAGTTGGACTCTTGGGTTCCTGGGTGGCTCAGTTGGTTGAGCATTTGACTTTGGCTGAGGTTATGCTCTCATGGGTCTGTGGTACAAGCTCCACATCAGGCTCTGTGCTGACAGCTTTGAGCCTGGAGCCTGTTTTCCATTCTGTGTTTGTCTCTCTCTGCCCCTCCCCCACTCACACTCTGTCTCTCTCCCTCTTTCAAATATAAACATTAAAAAATAAAAATAGTCAAAATAAATAAATAAATAAAAGACTTGGGCACTTAACTGACTGAGCCACCCAGGCATCCCTTGACACAAACATTTTAAAAATATTGTTTTTATGGCAGCTCATTTATCATTTTAGATACATCTGAAATTTTAATCTTTGTATTGACCTTTTGATCACTGCATGCATCAGTTCACAATGTTTTATGTAAAATAGTTTTATACAGATATCCCCCACTTTTTGAAAGTTCTTATTATGCTACTTTGCTTTTGTGAAAGACCTACATTAGTACTTGTTTTTAGTAGCTGAAAGAAACGTGAAGATGTTTTTCACTTTCACAGAAAAAGGTAAAAAGAGAAGATTGCACTCAGCATTGGTTTTGCAACAAGCCATTATAGAAGCAGCACAAACCCCCAGCAGCCAGAGGGGCACCACCAAGCTCTTTGCTTGGGAGCTATACTCAATATTTCTGCATCAAGCTGCCATAGCTTTGAACTCTGTGAGTGACTGTGCTTTATCTCTGTTTATTTTGTGCATGTACTAGCAAAATGTGTCCTACGGTATAAGATAAGGCTTTAAAAGTTTATTTTTTAGGTTTGGGAATACGCCAAAAATTTTGCACATACATTAATGGTAATTGCTCTTTCACTTTATATCATTTTGACTTAATGAAAAGTCTCCCAGGAATGATCCACTGTTGGATAGTGGTAGAAACCTATAATACATTTTAATATCTGTAGAGGGCAAGTTTCTCCTCATTACTCTTATTATTTTAAAGGATAATTTTTTTAAAACATAAAATCATGACTCTCATGTAGACAAAAAGTGAATATTAACATTTCTATCTCATATGATATAGAGTTTATATTATTAATTAATGTGGAAACCAATAGGATGTGACAACAGGTTCAAAAGAAAATTCAATGAGCCACACATATCAAGGCAGAAGGAATGCTGAAATAAATTTACAAATACATGCATAACTAGCTTATCCCATAGGTAGAAGAGGTATATTAATCAGAGTTTTCCAGAGATAAGAACCAATAAGATATATAGATATAGTTGTATCAGAGATTTTTATAGGACTTGGTTTACATAGTTATTAAACCTGAGAAGTTTCAGTCTGTCATCTGTAAGTTGAGGATTAGAAAACCTGGTTGTTTAACTTCTTCTGAGTCTGAAGGCCTGAGAACTAGGGGAGCCCATGATGTGACTCCTAGTCTGAGGCTGAAGGCCGGAGAACAAAGAATTTCAATGTTTGAGAGCAGGCGATGGATGTCCCAGCTCAAGGAGAGAGAGAAAAAAATTCACCATTCCTTTACATTTTTGTTCTATTAGGCCATGAATGGATTGGATGATGCCCACGGCATTACTGAGAGTGAATCTTCTTTATTTGGCCCACTGATTCAAATGTTAATGTCTTCTGGAAACACCCTCAAAAGACATGCCCCCAAACAATGTTTTGCTAGCTATGCAGGCATAACTTAGCCTAGCCAAGTTGACACCTGGAATTAACCATCACAGAAGGGAAATCAATGTTCTTCCTCTAGATGTAGTCCATTTGTATAGTATTGGTTACTGTTAGTCTGCCAGGGCTACCATAACAAAAGACCCCAGACTGAGGGGTGTAAACAACAGAAATTTTATTTTCTCACAGTTCTGGAAGCTGCAAGTTCAATATTAAGGTCCTGCAGGTTTGGTTTCTGGTAAGGCCTCTTTCCTTGACTTGCAGACAGAAAGAAGCCTTTTTGTTGTGTCCTCACATGTCTTTTCTCTCTGTGCACAGTCCTGTGTCTCTCCTGTGTATAAGGACACCAATCCTATTGGTCTCTACCTTTATAACCTCATTTAATCTTAATTATCTCCTTAAAAGGCCCTATCTCCAAATATAGCTACACTGGAGGTTAAAGCTTCAACATAGGAATGTGGGGGAGGAGGGAGGGGCACAATTCAGTCTATCAAAGTTATCTACAGTTTATAAGAGTTGTAAAGTTGCTCAAAGTCAATGAAAAGTATAGAGGCCCCAGAGAATCAGATACCTACATAATGCCTAATTTTCCATTGAAGATATTTAGTAATCTTTTTTATCCTTCAAAAGTCACTTACATTTTTCTCTATAATTAAAAGAAAAGTATTTGCTATTCTTATGTTTATGTATCCAAATGAATTTTACAATATTGTTGTATAGTTTTTAAAATTGTGCTAAAATTTAAACTATTGTGGTTCAAAATTTTTAAACCTGGTGAACAGAATTTTACATCAATATTTTACTATATATTTCCATCCAGGAACATTTAAGCTCTCATTTAATCTTTGTACTTTTCATCATTTGGATTCTGAACAATTTTTTTTTTTTAATTTTTTCATGTTTACTTTTGGGAGAGACAGAGAGCACTGGGGAGGGGACAAAGAATGGGAAGCAGGATCTGTGCTGAGAGCAGAGAGCCTGATGTGGGGCTCGAACTCAGAAACATGAGGTCTTGACTGAGCCTAAGTTGGATGCTTAATTGACTCAGCCACCCAGGTGCCGTTGAACAACTGAACAATTCTTAATTCCAAAGTAATTTACCTTGGTGTTGTGAGGGAATTTCCTCTTCCTTTTGTAGTTTTTAAATAGTTATCACTGGAACCTAGTGGCTTTTTAAAAAATGTTTTATTTATTTCTGAGAGAGAGAGAGGGGGAGGGAGAGAGAGAGAGACAGCGTGAGCAGGGGAGGATCAGAGAGAAAGGGAGACACAGAATCTGAAACAGGTTCCAGGCTTCGAGGTGGCTGTCGGCACAGAGCCCGATACGGGGATCGAACCCATGAACCGCGAGATCATGACCTGAGCTGAAGTCGGACACTTAACTGACTGAGCCACCCAGGCTCCCTGGAACCTAGTGGCTTTTAAAAAGAATGAGTTTTGTACCCATCATCCTGCATTAAATTTTTTTTTTTTTATATTTATCCTTACAGCTGGGTAAATTGAGAATCTAAGTAACTTGAGTACTTACAATTCCAGTAAAAGCAAATTGATTGCTTCTAAAAATAGTGTGTCTGTCTCTGCATGGGTACAAGTGTGTGTTGTGAGGGGACTGGGTAGGAACTTGAGACAACTATCTTAAGGATGTCTTGGAATTAACACTGTTTATCTTGGACACCTAGATTCCTATAGATGGATTAGCCATTTCCTGTGATATCCCCTCTCCTGGTTTTGGAAGGAATGAGGAAACAAGGGGTTAACTGCAGGTAAGGATGCTCCCTTAGCTCTGTGGCTTATTAGCATACAAATAACTTAACTGCCTATAGCTGTTCCCCAGATTTCTGGATACCACTGTTAAAAAAACATTTTGCCTTAGATTTATCACTTTGCTCTTGGAATACTCAGCTTTCTCTGACAGAGTTCAAGGCTTCTTCAAATCTATTTTATTTCAGAATAACTGGAAACCTCAGGAGTGCTACAGTAACATTAAGCATCCCCTAGGATACCTACAGAGATCATCTGGAAGGGAGTCATTTGTCCTAACAGATTTTCAATGAAGATAAAACCTGTCCATTGGGGAGATTGGTTAGAGAACATACAGCAGCCAAAAGAAGACTATGCCTGGTTTTAAAGCTCCAAAGAATCAATTCGTACTTCTTTCTAGTTAACATCCTGGAAATGCATCTGGAGTTAAACCCCTCATGGAGACTTAGGAACAAATGCATTCATCTGTTGATGCACTGATCTTTTGAAACCAAACATGCTCCTAAATAGAGGAAGTACTGTTTTCTCACATCTTCTTAGAAGCTTTCCCTAACCCCAGCCTACCCCCAACTGAATTACCCCTTGTCTGAAATCTTACAGCACCTCGTCTTACTCTTCTATGGCCTTGGCACTTTCTGCTGGTATCTGTGTTGCTCATGCTGCCCATGGTATCTTCTGCACAGTGCAGAGAAGATCCTGCCTGATTGGGCATCTCCCACTGCACTTACCTGAATGATCTGCATATAGTAGATGCTCAAGATTAAGAAATTTTCTGGATGGTTATTTTGCTAATCGGTAGCACCTGTTATAGTCTACTGAAAATTACCAAAGTCCGACGAACTTCAATTTTGTAGTTTGGGATTTTCAGAAAACTACCCTCTCTCCAGGAAAATACTCAACCATTTAACCAGGGCTATGGACAGTTAAGGAATAAGATATGGAAACTGATGGGGCTTGGGGGTGATAGTGGGGGGGGGGTTGGAGCTGATGGCCAAGAAAGAATTCTTTTTTTTTTTTTTTTTTTTTAAGAAAGAATTCTTGAAGCTGTCTTTGGTGCCAAAGAACGGGACCCATGGGCAGAAAGAGCAGCTCTAGGGCTGTGATGGGTAACTGATTATATACCCTCAGATTAGGAGGGGTCAGGGACAGTGTAAGCCTTAAGGAATTTTGAAGCAAGGTTTCCAGGACCTTGAGGAGCTAGCTTCTGTCAGGAAAGCAGCATTTATTAACATTTAGTAAAACCTATCATGAGACCCTTCAGATGTATATCAAGGGCCATAAGCTTGGAGTACGATTGCCAGCATATATCCTTTGGCAGTTGAGATAAAGTAAGTTTCCAGAGGATTTTTATATGTTAAAAATAGACTTATAGGATCCTCGGCGGGGGGCAGAGGATGTCAGGATAATGTTAGACTAAAGATTCTCTTCTGCTCCCAGCAAGGTGTCATCATGAGGCAGCTGAACTCCTAGAGGGAGATCATTGTGCTGGTTTCGAGGACTTATCAATGGGCTATAGGCAGTAAAGGAATTAACATTTTCATTTGCCTTAGTTTCCCACATCACCGTGGCAAGCACCTTAACCCCTTTCCTTTGTTCTTGGGTAGCCAGGAGTGTCTGAGGAATATCACACATACCCACCTTGGAGGTGGTGGAGGGAAGGGTGTTGCTGTTAGCCTCTTCTTTGCCCTCAGTTTGCCCCATCCGTCATCAAACAGACTTCTATCACATGAGAATTTGAGGCCTATCTTCATCGTTTCACGTTGTCTACTTCAAATTAGGGTGGTAGAAGAAACTGTTTTTCTCTTAGCAATCCAGTGTGCTCTCTTTCTCTGTCCTCTTTCCTTTTATTAGTAAATGATTTCAGTCTCTGCCTTCAATTATAAAGTTTGTGCCCCACGCGTACCCCCTCCCCTATTTTGGTGATTTGAGGTGTTCAAAACTTAATCTGACACAGAATCCTTCCTCATTTCCGATTCCTCTTCTTGCGCGTGGAAATCGTTTGAAACGCTGGCACGGAAAAGAATGGGGGAGAAAGTTGCATGTAAACGTTGAAAAGTTGAGTCACGGCTGGTTGCACAGCAAAAGCTCCACAGTGCGGAGAAAGACTAACTGCAGCTCGGGTGGCGTAGGGCTGGCCGGGCGCCTTCTGGGGAACCAGGGGGGTCGAGCCCCGAGAGCTGCGGGGGCCTCGGGCGGTCGCCTCCCGGCGCGCCCTCCGCACCTCCCCCGCTCCCGGCTGCCCCCCGGGACTAATGTAGCGCGCGTGCGTGCTGCGGCCGCAGCTCCCGACCCAGAGGCCGCCCCGTAAAGTCCCGAGCGAGTAGGGGGCGGCGCGCAGGAAGGGAGGAGGGCCGGGGGCGTGCGGGGCGGGTGGGGGTTCTGGGGTGGAGATGTAGAAGATGTGACGCCGCGGCGCGGCGGGTGCCAGAGCAGCGGACGCGGTGCCCGCGGTTGCAGCCGGAGCCCGGGCGCCGTAGCTTGGAGACGCGGCCCTTCGGAGAGCGGCGGCCGCGGAAGCACCAGCCCTAACGCCCGGCTCGCGAGCCCCGCGGCGCACGGCGCTCCAGGGCAGACGCGGAGCGGAGCTGCCGAGCGGCGCGACCCTGGGGGCCCGCGGGCGCGGTCGCGCGCCGCCGGGCGGGAGGCTGGGGGGCCGGGGCCGGGGCCGTGCCCCGGGCCGGGTCGGGGGCCGGGGCCGGGGGACGGCGGCTCCCCGCGCGGCTCCTGGGGCGCGGGCACCCCGGCAGGGCCCCGGGGGGGCCATGGCAGCCGGGAGCATCACCACGCTGCCCGCCCTGCCGGAGGACGGCGGCAGCGGCGCCTTCCCGCCCGGCCACTTCAAGGACCCCAAGCGGCTGTACTGCAAAAACGGGGGCTTCTTCCTGCGCATCCACCCCGACGGCCGAGTGGACGGGGTCCGGGAAAAGAGCGACCCTCACAGTGAGTGCTGCTTCCCCATCCCGTTTCCATCCCCTGTGGTTCTCTCCCCGCTGCCCTCCATTCCCTCCTCGGTGCTTCTTCCTTCTCTTCACTCCGACCTTAGTGGGACGTGTGGTTTCTTTCCTAGCGGCCCTCGGTGGTTTCGGGCTCACCACTCGCCCCCTCCTCCCGGGAGCTGCGGTGTCGGGTTAGATCCTTCCCCGGGCTTCGGAGTGTGCCAGTTTCCCCTGGTAAACCAGTCCTCTGGGCCCTGAGCCGCAGGGTTCCCGGGCTTTGGAGGCGGGCTCCCTTCGCGCAGACAACCTGTCGCTTGGGGGCTGGCGAGCGGCAGAGAGGCGAGCGGCTCGAGGAGATGCTGTCTGGGTCCCCATCCTGAAGTTCCAACCCCTTCTGTGTCAGATGAGCACAGTCCCGCGGACAAAGGGGGTGGGGGTGGGGGGGGACCAAAGCTGAATTAAGTGCTCTTTACTGTAAAAATACCTTTCCAGAGTTGTGCCCTTAAACTCTGATTTGGTAGGATCCAGGCCATCTGGCACACTGCTCTTAACACATCCATTTCTATTCTTTTCCAAATTGCCGAAAGCTGAAGCAGCAAACGATGAAGACTTTTGGTTAATAAAGTTGCGACACACTTTTGTTTCGGTAGTGACAAGAACTGCAAAAACTTTTATCTTTCATCTGCAGTTATTACTGGCTTTGGGATCTTGAACTTGTTTCCTGATACCTAAAAATGGGCGTAATGTCTACGTTGCATCAGGTTTGAGGATCAAGTGGGAATTCATATCAAGTACACAGAGGACTCCTTTTTCTGTCGTACATTTTTGTGTTCTGTGAAAAATATTGTGTGGTTATAAGCTGTGGAAACATAAGCTGTGGAAATAACACTAGCTTAAATCATTGGTTCTTAAATTCGAGGGGTGTGTTAGAATCACCTGGGGCTGGGTTATAACACATTGCTGAACCTTGTCTCCCAGAGTTTCTGATTTCCTGGGCCTTGAATGGGGGGCCTGATTTTGCATTTCTAACAAGTTTCAGGTGATGGTGACCTGGGACCACACTTTGAGACCCACTCTTCTAGAGTAAAGGGGCGGGGGGAAGGGAATGAAATTGGCTGATTAACACTGGTGGAATTGGAAGTGAGAGAAGGAGTATCAGAGCACATTTAACTGTGCTCCTGTAAGTGTAGGTAAAACATCTGTTTTAAAAGCTGGGTGTTCCGCCTCTATTGGTTTCTGTTGAAGAATCAGATCCTCTACCTGCCTGAGAAAAAACCTGCAGGAGCTTCGAGCTCCACCCCCCAGGAGTTACCTCTTTATCCTAAGATGCTGATGGGATGCCCTTGACACCTGTGAAGCAGTTGGAAAAGGTGAAAGCTTTGGAACGAAATCTGAGTCGACAAATGAGAAATGTGCTTTTATATTACTTGGGTTTTTGTTGATTCCAAAATAACAACAAGCAAAAGATGCAGGTCTTTTTTTTTTTTTTTTTTCAGGCCTGCCATCATTTTTAAATTTTATCAGCCGCTTCTATTATCCAGTAAAACTGAAAAGATACTCACAACCCAATACATATGGGTCACTGCTATTTCTCTCTTTTAGTAACTTGAATAGGTTTCACAAAGTTAAATTTTAAGCTTTGTGTTTGAAGTTTGTTTTGCAGTTTTGCAGTTGTTTGCTAGGTTAGCACAGCTGATTAGGGCCAGGTGCATATATATCCCAATTAGTTTTGTTCTTTTCTAGCAGCATGAACTGTCTATAATAAAGGAGCATGTTCTAAGGACTACAAGATAAAAGAATTCTCCTCTACATCAGTTTCATATTGGGCCTTCCTCTAGTACTCTTTTTTTTTTTTAAAGACCCTTTATTGCTAGATCTTTTTTTTTTTTTTTTCCTTTGAAGCTTTTGATACCCTATTTCCTTTAGAGTATAATTGTATAGGGGCTAGTGAGTGATGGTAATTCTGAATTACCTTGTAATTCACACTGCCACCCTTGTAATAATAGCTGTTAGCTGTTTCTTTCCAGCTCTGAGTTTTTTTTGTTATTTTACCTCACTGGTTCTCATAGGTGGGTGATTTTGCCCCTCCCCACCACCCCAACATTTGGCATTGCCTGGAGACATTTTTGGCTCATTTGGAGGGGTGCTACTGGTGTCTAGGAGATCGAAGCCAGGGATGCTGTTAACTATACTGCAGTGCATCCTACTTTATCCCTGCCAACATTTTCCTTTCCTTCCCTTTCCCCTTCCTTTCTTTCCTTCCCTTTCTCTTGTTCCTTTTCTTTCTTTCTTAGAGAATCCCAAGCAGACTCCTCACTGGGCTCAGTCTCATGAACTATGAGATGATGACCTGAGCCGAAATCAAGAGTTGGATACTTAACTGACTAAGCCACCCAGGTGCCCCAGATCCCAGATGTTAATAGTGCTAAGGTTGAGAACCCTTCCAATTTGATAATTAGCTAAAGACTACATGCTAAAAGTGAAGAGTAGAATACTCATCCAGATTTGTGGAGGTTACTGATTTTTTTTTCACCTTTTACCAGGCAATAGACTAACAAGAATACAAACCTGAAAATGATGAATTTAAACCACTTCTGTGTAGCTCAACCTGGACATAAGTTTAAGTACAGTATATCTTTCTAACATGTCAAAGATGTGCTGATAGTTGGCTGAACCAAGACAAGACTGATGGGAAAGACATAAGCAAAAATGATTATGGACATGCTATAACAGTATCTTCCCAATCACATCTCCTCCATTACCCCCAAACAAATGAGACTGACCAGAAAATGTGAGGAAAGAAGAACAGAGTTGATGGTTGTCACAGTTATCCAATTGTGACAAATATCACAATTATGGCTCAGATATCTAGACCTATTTAAAAAATTGAAAAACCTCTGGTCTCATTCCTCAAGCTGTTTTGTCTAGTTGACCTGAAAATCTCTCAGAGATTTATTCCTTTGAGATTAACATTTTTTCTCAGATGTCTTCTAAAATGCAAATACCCTTTGGGTATTTGGAGGGATGGTATAAATGTGGGGGTGCTGGTTAGGTATGGGGGATGTGGCTTAGGTGCTGAAAGGGAGACAGGGCAAGGAGGTGCAGGGAAGGGAGGGCAGAGGCAGAAATGAAAGGGGAGGGAGAAGATGACTAAATATCTATTTTCCAACTTTACAGGGTTGTTGAAGGTCACTTTTGCTTCATACCTGGGTATATTGCCACGTTTTCACTTGAAAGGGCCAATTTTCCTGCCCTTCGCCTCTAGTCCTGGAGTAGCTTTTGTTTGACATGAGATTTTGATCAAAGCAAGGTATGACGACAAGGGCCTGTTTCTCCAGACTGTGTGCTCCTCACTCAGCTTCCTTGTGTCCTGGATGTTTTAGTTGGCCTCTTACAAATGTCCATGGGATTGTGTAACATTAAGTATATACTCTAAAGTAGTGAACTATGTGAAAACTTCTGAAGGAAGAACACTTTATCCTGAGAAGCACGTACACCCTGTGGTGGAGTGTAGTAAGAGAAATGTATGCTGCTTATGTATGTTTTAGCATTAAATTTGTTCCAGATGGTCTTATTTAGGAAAAACTGGAGGTAGTTAGCAGTTCTGTTTCTGCCCTTGGGCTTCTCTTGGGAGGTGACTGTCTGCCATACAAGTCTGCTCCAGGTTCTAGAGGATGCTGAGACTTTTTTTTTTTTTTAATGTTTTATTTATTTCTGAGAGAGAGACAGCATGAGTAGGAGAGGGTCAGAGAGAGAGGGAGACACAGAGTCTGAAACAAGCTCCAGACTCTGAGCTGGCAGTCAGCACAGAGCCCGATGCGGGGCTCGAACCCACGAACCGTGAGATCATGACCTGAGCCGAAGGTGGACACTTAACCGACTGAACCACCCAGGCGCCCCTAGAGGATGCTGAGACTTGGAGTGGCACAGGGACCTCCCCACTCCTGTATGGAGCAGGGTTGGCATCCTGGCCCGCCTGACACCCATGCCCTTTGCCATGACACATATTCCATGCAACTCCACTCATAAAAACATGGCCTTGTGAAATTCAGAGGGAGGTGTTAGACTTTTTAGTTCACTGATCTTGTTTTATAGAGGACAGTATTGAGGTTCAGAACAGTAACTGATTACCTGCCTTTATCTGCTGATTTCTGCAGTGATCATACTGAATTAGCTTCTTGCCCACCTGGTCCCTTGCATTCTGTTCCTGCCCTCCTCCAGCCTCATTGCCCTCTGCCGTTCAGTCAGAGAGAGCACCCTCAGGGGCCCCTCTTCGTGGGCTTCCTCAATTTCAGAGCACTGGCAAACCCAGCCCCTCTGAGGGTTCTCAGGTTGCCTCTAGTTATGTTCCTAGGGCATTGGATAAAGCCACCTTTCTTCTCTACCTTCATGTAAATGGAACTATTGATTCAGTGATTCTAGATTCTCTCCCCCCATCTTTTTTTGAGTAATATCTGGCAAGTGGATCCCACTGATTTGCCTTAATAAACACAATGTTTACTGTAATGCTATTTATGTGCAGTAAACAAATGAAGTAAGAATCTAATAGCTCATTTAATCATGGAAATCATGTAATTGGTGCAGCAATGAAAGGACAATTCATGAGTCATAAATATTACCACACCTTAGAAGTCTTTTAAGAAGAGTTTGATGCCAAATGACTTCAGCCTAGAAGAGGCAGTATCCCCTAGTGACATGCCCTGAGGGCTCTCCTTGTGTTTTTAAAATGTCCACTATGTAATTAGACTTTGACAATAGTATAACAACAGGGTTCTAAGTATTCTCATTTAGATTTATGATAGCACTTTAAATGGATGGCTATGATTTTTAAGTTAATTTGACAATAAAATACTACAGATGTAATAAAACACGAACCATTCTTTATACACTATAATTATGAAATCTTTATTCATCTACACACTGATTCTCAGAAATTCCCATCTGTGATACTGAAAGGTAATTTTTAGGCCTCATATCATTGGAACTGTTATTTTTAAGCCACAA